TGTTTCGCATATTTGTTGTCGTATTTTTGTGTCCTAATGCATTTTGTTTGGCTAATTTAACGACTGATTATAAACGGTATGAATTTGTATACATATTATATTAAAATAAGGGGATGTGGTATAATTAACAATAATACAACTATTCACCAGAGTCCAAATTGAGTGAATGTAAACAACTAAAGGCAACCGTGCAGCCTTCAACAATGAGAAAAATCAATATGTATGGTTTTGTCGCACTTTTACTGCATTTATAATATACAAAAGAAATTAATCGGATGCCACCTTTTGTCGGGGTTGATTAGTACAATTTGCATTTAAGATTATCACAAGCCATGTTTAAAGGGAGGTGGCCAATGAAATTGGAGAATAAGTGAAGTTCTTCAAGCTTTGAACAGTTGAGTTATTTAATGTCGATTAATTGTCACTGATTTCACATTAGTGAAAAATTTATATATTTGACCTTAAGTTTGGTCATTTTAAAGGGGCATTAGCTACGAGCTATAAAAAATTAAAATGTGATTTGTTCCTGTTCAATCATTAATGAAAGTAAAATAGTGAAATAATAATTCGCTTTAAACAGCCTGTTTGGTTCAATATGTCAAAATAGGTTAAGAAACATCGCTGATTAATCATTCACTTGCAAGTGAATAATTCGACCTCATTGAATCCGTATTTATGTAACCTTCAATGTAGCCCCTTAGCTAGAGATGGGTTACGCATGAAATAGGCGTGTTCAGCTATTAAAAAGAAAAGAATGTCAACATTGAAAGTGAAAACCAGGGTAAACCATTTGCTAGACTGATTCGATTGACAAAAACTCATTCTTATACAGGTAAAAACGATGATTAATATTTTTTTAACCAATAATATGAAATCAAACATAACTAGAAAAATCCAATTGCACGTGCTCACTATCTAATTATATCTATATTTATGTTTATATCGGGTTATCTGACCGTCTTCGGAGGTCTCTTCGATGGTTAATTGGATAGCGTCTAGACTAAAATATACACGGAAATTTGATACATATGATATCGAGTCCATGATATCTTTTAGACTTTTTGTAATTTGGATATACCTTTGAGTATGTTATAAATCAAATATGAGAATTTGAATCAAATCGGTGAACATAATTTTGACAGGTAATGCCCCCTTGAACAAAGACATTTACACCAAATTCACATATTTGTATGGGGCATCTTTTGGCACATTATAATTAAGGGAGGATGAATTGGTCTATATTATGTCATTGAGTATTTTCCTTCGTATATTGTGATTCAATTAAACTTTCAGTTGCATCACATATACTTTTAAAATGTTTACAAAATAGGTAGGCAGCTTGTATCTTTAATTCCTACACCACTAAACAGACTTTAAAGAAATTGTCTTTCTTACAAAATGTAATTGTTCAAATCTTATTCTATCTTTTTATCCGGGTCATCTGAAGGATTTTGAAAACAAGACCTACCCTATTTACAAAAGTTAAATTGTATCATTAATTCACGTTTTTTTTTGTTTGTTTTATTTTCAGTGTCCCAACATTAAGGACAGTATAAAGGCGCTATTCCTAGTTGTTAATTTGTCTTATTTGATTTTATTTTTTTTAGAATATACATAATTTTGTAGTTGTGACAAAAGAAATTAGCAAAAATAATATTATCCCGGCATCCTGAAAGGTGACTCATTAGACAGGTGGCTGTCATCCTTTACTGGGAAATATTTATCTCGAAAGAACGACTTCAAACTAGAAATCTATGACAGACGTGATGATTTCAATTTTCCAATTGTCAACCTCCATTTCTCAGCAGTTACAAACCTTGTGCTCCATCATTTAGTCTTTTGCATATCTCTATACATTACGCTCGTGCATGGCAGATTACGTATGCTTAGCAAGCGACATTTACCCCTTTTGTAGTTTATGCAGTTCCCTCAGTTTTTGTATGTTGTCTTGCAAATTGATTTTTTGAGATTTTAACATTGGAAAAATATTGTTGTCTATATTCATTTCGATATGCCTCTTGTAAGTGATACTGCCTCAACGCAAAATAAAAAGAGAATTTTGTAAAATTAAGTGCTTTACGGATCTTTGTTAGAATATTGTTCTACAAGACAAATCTACTACCTTTTTGATAATTCATTTGAAATAGTTATTTGATGAAAGGTTCGTGTTTTACTACAAAACAATCATTTCTTAGATCTTCTTGCAACTACTAATTGAAAAGAGGGACAAAAGATACCAGAGGGACAGTCAAACTCATAGATCGAAAACAAACTGACAACGCCATGGCCAAAAATAAAAAGACAAACAGACAAATAATAGTACAGATGACACAACATAGAAAACTTAAGACTAGGCAACACGAACCCCAACAAAAACTGGGGGTGATCTCAGGTGCTCCGGAAGGGTAAGCAGATCCTGCTCCACATGTGGCACCCGTCGTGTTGCTTATGTTATTACAAATCCTGTAAATAGTCTAATTCGGTAGGTCACATTTGTGAAAAGGGAAGGGTATTGTAGTTACGACATAAGGAACATATCCGATATCATCTGTGAAACGGTTATTCCATAACGGTCAACCAACTCGTGATGGCGTCCGTAAAATTTACGAAGGGATGATTTCAACTTCACCATTTGGAACTCTTGGTTTAGTAGCTTCCTTGTGAGCAGCAATCCTTTATCAAGAAAATCATGATAGGAAATACAAGCCCGGGAATATCGTATCAATTGGGAGATATATGCTCCGTATGCAGGCGCTGCTGGAATGTTGCTACATAGAAATGGAAAGTTCACAATTGGGAAGCTGAAATCATCTCTTTTGTCGTAAAGTTTTGTTTTCAACCAACCTTCATTGTCAATTTCTAGATGTAAGTCAAGATATGAGGCAGACTTAACTGTATCAGTAGTATCCTTTATCTCTAGTTCGATGGGATAGATTCGTTCAACATAGTGACCAAATTTTGTATTATTTAGTGAGAGACCATCGTCTATATAGCGGAACGTAAAGTTAAAGGATATTGCTAACTTCTTATCTTTCTTCTTATGAAATGACACTAGTGTATATAGTTTGAAATGTTTGAATGAATAATTTCAGTATAGTTTTTTGTTTATTCATAATGACTTTTAAATGATGTTTGAGTATTTAAATGTGTGAGTGTCTATATAAATTTATATCATTTTATTTATCGTGTTCATAACATACATGAACAAATATTTATCCTCTTTTGCTTTATATATTTGACAAATATTGTGGCAGAAGAAAGGAGATCACGATATCGTTCAACTTTAGTTACAGAGGACTGACGTAATACAAATAGATGCATTTTTTTCTGTGACCTTTTTAAATTTACACTCTTCCTCGTTAACCGGTATCATTCAACTCAAGCGTCTTAATTGTCAAGTAGCTATCATATTATATCGTTTGATAGTTATCTCGGCATTTTAATTTATATATAGATTGACACAAGTATTTTTTTTGTAAAGTTTGTAAAGATTGTTCATAATATGTATACCACGCTGGTATTACAAATGCAGGTCAAATGACATGTAACATCTGTACATGTAAGGGTGTGCAATTTGATAATGAAAACATTCTAAAATCAAGATAAGAAAATGATAAATTTACACCCAATTGTGATCATGCTTTTAGCAAAAGGAGGACATCCCGTTAAGATTTCAGTTAACATGATATCAAAAAGTATAAACAATATATTTATAACAAGTATATAATTGTATAATACAATTGTGGCAGAATGATATTAGAAGCTTTCTAACCAGAAAAATTCAATCAACAGAACTTAGTATTTTTTTAACGTTGTAATACATTCTGTTTAGCACAAAACAATTCCAAATCAAATATCAATTGTTTGGAATTTCTAAAATTTACATTTGGTTGTTTATTCATAAATAACAAAACAATATAGTAGAGCTTTTGGACACTGATTTAGGGAACCAAAGTACAAAAACTGATGAAATTTTCCTAGTTTTATGAAAGAGCCGTTCCTTCTATTTTTATCACTGTTCAATATTTATTTTATTTCAGTTGTTATTTTGAGATGCTTGCACTTATTGTTATAAAACCACTTTCCTATTTTATATTTGATTTATTTGATAATTACATAAGGAAATTCCTGTACCAAGTCAGGAATATGACAGTTGTTTTCAATTAGTTAAAAGTTTTTGAGCTTTTGAGTTTGCCATTTGATGAGACTTTCCATTTTGCATTTTCCTTGGATTTCGGTTTTTTGCTATTTTTCTTTTAATATCAAAATACTAACAATACTAAACCACTGTGTCTACATGTGAACTGTAAGGTTATTGTATTTTAAGCTCATGTAACATGTTCAGAACGCTAAAATGGAACTCAATACAAGGTCAAAGTAAAAGGAGTAGGCCCAGTAAGACCCCTTTTTGGCCCCAAAATGTAGCAGTTTTACAAAATTGTTAAAATGTAAATTTTTAGCTATTTATTAGAAAGAAGAATACTTCAGTTACATAAATATGGGTTGTTTTTTACAATACAATGCACATGTATCGGGTACTAGCATCATTAAGTCATGCTTAATTACTGAAATCATCGAAATGTTAGCCTTTTGGTTAGTTTTTAGACGGTTTCCGTCTGAAATTGAAGTGGCCGCATATGTGTTCATTTTTAATAGTTGAATGTTAGTTGTATTTGATGATAATACATATCATATATAAAGGTTGAGAATGAACACGGATGCGGCAACTTTCATTTTTGACAAAAACCATCTGAAAAGTGACATATTATGGCACATTTGATAGATTTTTCATATTAAAGCTTGAATTTGAGCGTCTTTAATGACCAAATCAGTTCAAATCTTTCACATAAACTAATTGAATCGACTGAAGTAGACACTTAAGTGTTTAAAATGTGTCCAAAATCTTTCATGAGATGAACCTGAATTTTGAGGCCAAAATCGGCCCTTACCGGACCTACTACTTTTTGCTTGACTTATCTATGTTACACTCTTGGTTTCGATTACACAGTAAGTCGTCCAATACTTCCTGTTTAACATTTATTATTTCATTTAATGAGACGGAATCGTATACCTGATGAAAGGTACGTTTTTAAGAGTAGTACAAAAAAACTATATTTTTAAGTTAACTAGTATTAATTTTATCTTAATATACTATTAACATGATTAATCATTGAACACTGTGTATGACTTTGTCTGATGAACGTTAAACTATCTACAGCATTATATGGGATAAGTTGAAAGTTCCAGGAAACATAAAGCGTCTTTAATAGCTCATTTACTACAGTGTACATGTACTAATTAAGAAAACATTAATATATTAGTCAATTATTTAATAAAGACTTATTGATTATAAATGACTACAAAGTCCAACCAGATTAATGGCAGATAAATGGTTAATAGCGTGATGATAAAGGGTCTCTGAGTATTAAACAAAGTGTCATCAAAGGGTGCAAAATATTTCATAGAACCAAGAAATATTGTCTAACGTGTCACCCACTTCAAAAGAGAGTCGGTTTACCAACTTTGTAACTTAATTCATGCAAAGAAATATATTTGCTCTGACGTTTCTTATGTTTCGAAAATGGCCAATTTAGCCAAAAGTGTCGGCCAAGGACAGCTGCTCTCGTGTGTAGCCCACTTCTTAAAAGCGTTCCTTATGATGGGAAATCCAGAAAAACTGATTCGGACGCATGAAATTTATGAAGTGTTGTTTTCATTATTTAACTTCGTTATTCATTCCAAACGAGAAAAAAAAATCTCTTAATTTGTCTCCTTAATCGATTTATGAGATTTGAACATCGGTAAATACTGTTGCCAATATCTATTTCGATATTCCGCCTGTGAGTGATACGCCTAAACACAAGATAAAATTTCATATAATTAGGTGCTTTGCAAATCTTTGTTTAAATAGTATTTGTTTTATAAAATGAACTACAAGACAAAAGTAATTCCTATTGGATAGTTCATTTGAAATTATAATTTAATAAAGGGTTTGTTTTTTCAGAAAGAATAAAATAACCATTTGTTAAATCTAGTTTTTGCTACTAATTGAAATGATTACCTACGGTGTGTCTTTCACATAATAAATCCTGACACCCGTCGTTGTGTTATACGACAAGAATAATCTTAAAATGTGCATTATCTATAACATCATGACTTTGAAATTGTGATTGTGTAATTAATGTGTAAGTGTTTACTTTATTTCAATCATGTGCATAAATAAAACGAAATGTGCGCTTTGCACAAAACAGAGAGCAACACAACAACACAAACACGACAAATACGAGTTCAACACATGGTGTTCAATTATAAAGGGGTGTTTCTACACAATGTCAAGCTCTTAATCGTACCGAATCTAAAAGGAACAGTGAATATATTACACACCACATTTTTAGAATTTCAAAATCATATTGACAAACTAAAACCACTTACGAGCTTTCTGACTTGGTATAAGTACATGCACAGGTGACCCTCTGAGGCAACCCCTCATTTTAATCTAGGTCATCGGGAAAAAAACCAACAAAAAAGGTACATTAAAGAGCAGGCGATAATAAAAATTACAAGAAATAAATAAGTAAAAGAATACACTTTAATAAATTTAAAACAAAAACCACAAAAACCGACAATCATATATGCAATCATATCTAAGAATGCTCATAGGAACTGAAAGTAAGCTCTGCATAGTTAACAATGGTAAATTGTCGTATTCTAAAATTAATTCTGGGACAAAATGGCCTAACTTCTTTTGCTCTTGCATTAGAATTAGGATTTCTGTACCCTTTTTAAATACCAAACTTTTTTGCAGATACACATATCAACAAATATGCAGACAAGAAAAATTAAGTTGCAACAGAAAGATCGCCGTTTGTAGCTTGAGATCCAGAAGCATATAGTCACATAGCTATTTTAATTTGAACGATCATGAGATTGGTAGTCATAACACACTACACTTTAACCTCCATAATATGCACATGAAAGGAATACTTCCATCTTTCCATGATCCCTCTTTTTTATACTCTGAAAATGAAGGACTGTAATCCTATTGAAGATAATACAATACACCATTAAAACCTGATTAATGTTCTTTTCATTATTGAAATAAGCTATTGAAATTATTATAACACTAATTAGCTACTAGTATTTGTATAAATATGTGTTAAATTATGCACGACATTGCATACTGTAATTTCAGCTATAAAAAGAAGGATGCGAAAGCGGGTCTTTAAATAGATTGTGTCCTCTTTTTCTTGAAATCTAACGCTACATTTCAATTTCGAAAATTTATATCTTTTTTGGCAGTTTTATTTACATTATATGGAGTTTGAATGTGCAATGTAATAATTTGCCGATTCAATCAGTTTTTGCAATAGGTTAAATGTATTGATAACACTAACGAAACATTAGCAGGTCAATTGTTTAATCGACATTTAGCCATTAAAAGTCATCACTAGATTCGTTATATTCTTTTTAAACAATGTCTGCTTTTTGTTTTAAAAGATGATGCGTATATGCGGAGGAATTTTGTGTGAGTACAGCACCTTGAAAAGCATGCGTTTGCGGACTTGAAATTGAAAAGAGGCAAAACATAATGGAATAGAAATTGAGAATTTTAGAAAAAATGACAAAACATAGGAATGTCTGTGTAACTCTCATAATCTATCAGTTTTAAAAACAAGTGCACGAAGTTACGTTAGTAGTTTATTTGATGATATTTGTATTTATCCAATAATTATCCTTCTTTGCAAAATATAATTTCGCTATTGTGGTAGGAGTGAATAGGACATAACTATTACTCCCCGTTAGAGTTACACAGAACTGTCTCATCTTCAGATATAGATGCAGTTATTTGTAGTCTAAATGTGACCATTTGTAATCATTCTATTTCTATAAATTAATTGTCGTATAACCCAAAAGTTTCATATGACAATTAGCTACCCTCTTCTATCAAGAGATAATAATCTCGGTATCAAAATGTTTAAATATATTGACACATCAATTTGGTATTATTTTGTAAAAATCAAAGATTGTTGATATGTATACCTAACTGGTATTAACTTTTGAGGCACATGATGACGTATCTAAGAATGAAGTTGTGCATGTGGTGATTTGTTATTTGGCGGTGAAACGGGATATTACTTGTTTACATTATGAGAAAATGATTAAAATTACAGCAAAGATTGGTCGTAATTTTATCGAAAATCTTAAACACCGTTTAGATTTCAGTTTAACTGGTATATATTAGTTTACAAACTATATTCATAATATTTGTTAGTACAGAAATTACAAATGTGTCAGAATGATATACGAAGCATTCCTATTATTCATACGTGCTGTGTGCTAAGCTTCAATAAAGCAAAAACATGAGTAAAATCGTATAAAAATACCGAACTACTTGGTAAGTTTAAAAAGGGCGCAGTCCATAAAAAATGTTTACATTATTTAGATTTTGGGTCGTGTCGGATCTGTTTACAACTCACTATATAGTCCGGGTTTTTTAATGTCGAAGGCCGTGCAGTGACCTATATGATTGCTTACATACAAGCAGTTTTGTCTCTCTTGGATAGTTGTACCATTTGCAATCATATGCTTTTGTTTTATATAACAGGAATATCAGGGCACTACTACTTTCCACTCTGCAATTACGTTATACTCTTATCACACGTATGTCTATAAGTCGTAAAATTTGATGTAAAATGCATTTGGCAGAGTTTGTCTTTATTTTGATATAAACATTTATTTGTTACAATGTAAGTTTTAAAAATGTGGGTGTTTGAAAATTTTCTAGGATACGTGTTTCTATATAATGTTTTACAAGACGTGAAAATATAATGCCATAATTGTTTTTTTATTTCATTCGTACACTGTACTGACAATGATTTATTGTTTGGCAATGTAAATGTGAACATGTTTATTACTTCACTGACAACTTTTTTCATATAAAGTAACTACAACGGTCATTATTATTTCCGTTATCATTATTATTACATTCATTATTATTATTACTATTATTATTATTATTATTATTATTATTATTATTATTGTTATCACAATATCATTAATATTATTATTATTATAATTATTATTATAACTGTTATTATTATTATTATTATAATTATTATTGTTGTTGTTGTTGTTGTTGTTATTAATATAATTATTATTGTTATTATTATTATTATTGTTATTGTCATTGTTATTATTATTATTATTATTATTATTATTGTTATTATTATTATTATTTTTATTATTATTATTACTATTATTATCAATTATTATTATTATTTCAATTTATTTCCTTTCATTTAATTTCTTTTATCATTCTTTCTTTTATTTTACTTACAGAGAGATTGCAAATGTATTTCCAAAACTTAATGGTACTTTGTTATCCTACGTGATTAAAAACTAGTGTATATGAGAGGATGCATACACATATAACTATGTTACATCTTTTCATCATTTATCTATTTATATATTTTAGAACATCTATCTGGAATGTTGGATAAAAGAACACTTAATATGTTATCAATGTTACTTATCCACACAACAGTTATGTTGGCAGTTACTGCACAACGTGAGTCATTTAAAGCAGAGGGTCAGTGTAACGTGTTACAGCTCGAAATTTCAAAATGAATCTAATATTTAGAAATTTTGAATACTTGATTTGTCTGTTAAAAACTGAAATATACCTTGCATTTTCTCTGTTTTACTGTTAAAGGATTCTCGTTCAGGCAGGACATTTTGTATTTTATATGACGATTGGATTTTTTTTTTTTTTTTTTTTTTGCAAGTCATCACAGATATAAAATGCAAGTTCCAATATGACATCCTAATTTGGCTTTGTTAACAAATCCGTGTTCTAATTAGCACAAAATATGATTCACACATGCACACAAACTTACTGGTTATATTCCTGTTATTTTCATTTTTATCCTAATAAAAGAGGGACGAAAGATACCAGAGAGACAGTCAAACTCATAGATCGAAAACAAACTCACAACGCCATGGCCAAAAATAAAAAGACAAACAGACAAATAATAGTACAATGACACAACATAGAAAACTAAAGACTAAGCAACACGAACCCCACCAAAAACTCGGGGTGATCTCAGGTGCTCCGGAAGGGTAAGCAGATCCTGTTCCACATGTGGCACCCGTCGTGTTGCTTATGTTATTACAAATCCGGTAAATAGTCTAATTCGGTAAGTCACATTCGTGAAAAGGGAAGGGTATTATAGTTACGACATAAGGAACATATCCGATATCATTCGTGAAACGGTTATTCCATAACGGTCAACCAACTCGTGATGGCGTCCGTAAAACTTACGAAGGGATGATTTCAACTTCACCATTTGGAACTCTTGGTTTAGTAGCTTCCTTCCTCCCCAAGACAAGATACTTGTATCTATGTTCGCCATTCTTTTTAATGAAACAAAGTAATACCAACTCTTTCAATTTGTCTTTTAGTTTGGAATGGGGAATACTTGTGTAAAGTGTAGAAAAGTCAAATGTTTTAATACTATTGCAAGATGAGAGAGTCTTAGATTGTATGTACTCTAAAAGATCTTTGGAATTTTTTAGTATCCACATCTGATTCACGCCACCTCTAGAATAGGCAGTTTCACAATAACTTTGGAGCCCGGCTTTGATTGCTGATAAAATAGATGTTAATAATTTAGAAAGAGGTTTCGTGGAGCACTTGGAAGACCCAGCAATATACCGTTGTTTGTAAGGACACTTATGTAGTTTAGGTATCCAATACAGTGATATGTATATATATATACATTAGCTGCTTACATAAAATTTTGTTATATATTTCTATTAAAACATCATTTACCCTGCTATTGGTTTTTAAACATATTGAATATGAAAATGTAATGAAAATACTTCATTTGGAGAAAAAGGAAACAGTCAAACATTCCTAAGTTATATTCGTACGCTTAGACCTATAAAAGTACCATATTTGTCTTATTAGAATCGAAATAATTCCTTAATTTAATGCTCTATTCACATTTTAACATGAATACGCTTTACATTTGACCGTATTTTACACCTCGCTAGCGCTCAGAGTAAAATATCGACAAATATAATGCCTATCCATATTAAAATGAGCATAGAGCATAACATGAAAGAATTATTTCTTAATTACTCTTAAATTATTCTGTCAATGTTGATCAGCTATGTCTAGTTTTAATATGATGATAAATGCCCATTAGAATGTTAATTTCTTAACTTAATTTGCGCACTTTACGACTCGCTGATTACCGGATGCCACTAGTTAAAAAATAACTGCATACGCATTCCAGTGGCAGATACTTGATGTCATCTCCGGTTTTGGGGATGCTCAATCTGTGTTTTTGTATGAAGTGTGCTATCATGGTGTTCTGTCTTTATTTGACTTGTGATTTATGATTATTCATTTATTATCTTGATCATCAAATATGGGAATAACGGTACGAATAACCTTAAGGTCTAGCAAAATTGATTTGATAATATCAATAATTCTAAATTTATTAGAAAAGAAACGTAAAGAAAAGACAAAATTGCCTTTAAAATCATATCGATTGTTCCTAAATAGTTCAATATACAGCAATCAGTGATGCAATACAAATTTTAGTCTATGCATGAACATTACAATTACTAGTATAAATTTTCATTATTGGTGTGTATCATCAAAATGTATGTTAGAATAAACGTTCCGTGACCTTTATACATTATGATTTCGAGCTATCATTTTGACATCTTACACTTGACGTATAGTAAGTGAAAATACTAGGTTTCAAAGAATTGATTGTCTAATCATTGTGAGATACTAAATCAGACGTCGATGGCTGTTACATGTATGTTCTAATGTTCCAAAAATTTGAAGAAAATATACCAACAAAACATAAGCTCAACTCCTTACAATCCACATAAAATCATCCCGTATTATGTTCATATGACAATGTATATGTACAAAATACACCATATTTGACTGGAGCGACATTGGATAAAGGAACTAGCAAAAGCGGAGAGAGGTTGTAAAATGCAAGCTGTCGTACATATCAATACATAAGTTTCCGTACACAATACTTTGTCTTTGTTGATTGCATACCTTTAAAAGATACCTTTACTGAAAAAATCAGCCTCCTGCAAATATTTGCTGCAAGTCTGCTGCAAATTTGCTGCAGTATTGCAGCAAACATTTAATAGGCATTTGCAACATGCTTGCTGAAAATGTGCGGCAGTCTGTCGTAAACAATTGACCATGCAAATGAGTGTTTGCTGCAGACCTGCAGCAAACGTTTATATGCAAATGAGTGTTTGCTGTAGACCTGCGGCAAACATTTATATGCAAATTAATCTTTCTCCTGCGTTTTTGCTGCAAACCTGTTCTAAACATTTATATGAAATTTGGTCTTTCTCCTGCGTGTGTGCCGCAACCTTGCAGGAACCACACAAATTACAATTTATCATTATCCTGTTGTTAACACATCAAATCATTCAAATTATACACAACAAATACTGAAAACAGGTTAGGTTAAATACATATATACAACAATTCAAATACTTTATCGTTTGCAAAATCAGTATAAGTAAATATCTTTAATTTTAAGGAATACTATTGTTTTATTTATTAAAGTACTTAAATGTTATTGATCAATTTTAATAGTACAAAAGAAGTGCTCATTGGGATTGCATTAGATAATTTCATTACAAAATTGTCTTACTGGAACTTAATATATAAGTTAACAAACCCAAACAGATTAGGGAGTACTGTGCATCAAACATGTTTGTGACTGTTTTTTCAAACCTTAAGGTATTAATTTGTGATGGTCGATCATGAAGGAATACTTTCATACGTTAACTGTTCTGTGAATAATTTGTACTTACCACTAATAAAACTACACATTTAATATCCAATAACTTTCGGAACCTACAATGCCTCACTCATACATAACATTACTCAAACACCATCAGCATGATCAAGCACCAACATTCAAATTTTAAATTTCAGGAAGTTACCAGTAGGCATGCTCAGTTATCTTATGTAATTCTTGCAATGATCTTGCAAACATTTAGAATTGTCAAAGATATCTGCAATCTAGCTGCGAACATTCCTTAAAGTCTTAATTTTCCTGCAATCTTACTGCAAACATAATTGTTTCTGCGAGCTTGCTGCAAGGTTGCAGCAAAAATCTGCAATGTTTGCAGGAGGGTTGCAGCTAGCTGCAAACATCTGCAAACATTATTGTCAGGTTTCTTACAAACTTTTTATTTGCAGCAAACCTGCAGCAGGTCTGCTGGAGATCTGTTGCAGATCTGCAGCAGACATTACAGTTCTCTAAGGGTAATCAATGTAAATTATGGTTTTGTGTATTTATAATAAGTCATACCTGAATAATAGGAAGATATATCCAAACTTAAGAAGCATTGAAGCGGCTAATTTTCTTGGTCGGAAGAATTTGGTGCCTCTTTTTTTCCGGTACTAGATAGTAGTATGGTATTTTTTATCTCCAGATTAAATTTACGATAATGTCTACTATACCCGAATGATTTAGAGAACAGTTCAATTCCCAATATATCATTATACAAATCTTTAGACACATGCCATAATTACAAATCCATAAACAATTTGAATTCTTACTTATGATTATAGAATTTCACAAACTCTCCCCGCTTCAGCTAGTACCAATATCCAGTCTTGCTCCCATACGGTGAGGTAGGTACGCTAACACATACATTAAAATATGTCTTCCTGAATTTAGAACATCCTTCTCCGTGTATAATGAATAGTTGCAAATTGCGGTTTTAAAGTGTGTTTTCAGTTACTCAATTCAGAAACCATCATGGTGGTAGTGAAGAGGGTAAAGCCTCTTTCCGAAATATTTTTCATGACAAAAATATAGCAAAAAAAGCTATTCCGATTTAACAAGAAAGATGAAAGTATTTTTCATGTTTTTGGTCACTATCTATGAGCATTAGCTTTTATTTTCCAGAAAACCTTACACCGTTTGGAATTGCTACGCAGGGTCCGATATCAGGGGTTAACGGTAAACCAGAAAATGCTATACAGCCACCTATAGGAAATAAATATAATCTGTCTATATGTACACAGAGTTGGTCAACTCATTCTGAAATACCAGCATGGTGGAGATTCGAATTTTTTTTCGACACAGCATACATTACGGATATAGCAATATACTATAGAGAAAACTGTAAGTATTGCAAAACAATACGCAGTGTCTCGCTCTGCATTCCGTTTAGTATGCTGGAAGACATAGCGATTTATAACAAATTTATATCGCGAAAAAAAACACTGTTTTATATTTGTCTAATGCAACACATAATTTTATAAAAAAGTAACTGAACTCCCGAGATTGTTTTTTTTTTCGAATTAAAAACCTATTGTTTTTCTGATGGTGATCGCTTAGTCTTTAATTGTTTTAAAATTTTAAACTGTATATTTAACCTTTTATTTGTACCTATATAAGTTATAGAAAAGGTTCTTAGAACCTCCCTTCCTAAAGTTGTACATTTTCCCTATTTCATATTTATCTACAAAGATATACGATATGATTTCGTCATGTTTATCAACATGTCTTGCACGATTCACTTTAGCTTTGTCTACTGTTTATTGAATCATTAATCATATAGCATACATCTTGTATATACATCAAGTTGAATTGCGGTTATAAATTAATATTTAAGGCCAATTGTTCATATTAAAAATTATATTGATGACTGTTGCTCTTGTATTACTAATACATTTTACAATAAAAAAGTTTTTGTTTATCCTAGTGTTGGAGATAATTAGCTAAAATATAATATTAGTCAAAAATCGTACTTCATTGGTAATATCTCCTTTAAGGAATAGTCCAACAATTTCGATATATAATACTTTCATTTTACCGTTATATTCTATGTCTAACCATGGCGGCCATGTTTTTAACGGGCATAAGCGGCACACTTTTTAAGAAGACATCCAGGGATTGATTGTGGCTAAGTTTGATACAGATTTTCACATGAGTTTAAGAACAGAAATGTGTTGATTCACATAGTCCTGAAGGGGCAAAAATTACCAATTTTCTTCAAAAGCTCTGTATGTGATTTGTAACCCCTTCTTAATTTGAATTTGTATTTAAGTCTTCATAAATTAAATAGGGTTTGAACAAGGTCTTGCTTCACTTTTCCCGGTACCGGTACATAATTGCATATGTCATGCAACAAATGAATAAAAAGAGACGTTGCGTTTCTGCAATTAGACAACAACCCAACAATACGGAAAACTAAATGGCATCTAAAGGTCTTCCCTAACAGACTGTATCTGTGTGTCAAGCTCTAAACTCCCTACATCTGAAAAGATGTGCATATATTTAACAGAGACTATCAAAGATCTGCAATCAATTATTGATTTATAATGACAACGATCATAATCATAAAGAATCACTTCTAACTTTTTAGAAATTTTAAAACATCCCCCTTTCTCGATCAGCGGAACAGCAAAATGTACACTAAAGGAAAATAAAAGACTAAAAATGATTTAACTCGATACAAACAATACAATTAACAAAACACAGGTACACAAAACAGTGATAAACAATACTGGAGTTAAGAATGTCAGCAAATATTTAGTTCATATGCAAAGTGTTAAACAAATTTAAATCAAATCATGCCTTCCTACACTCTAATATTGAAGCTTGTGCCGATTTGTACAGCAGCGTTATAAACAGTATAGGAAACCCAATATCGTGCAATGTCTGTTTTCGTCAACCTTGTTGCTAAGAGAATTGACAAATACAAATCCTGGAAAGGCTAGTAACAGGGAAATGTAGCCAAATTTCCTAAAAATTCTTCTGAAATGGCTTTCTTCCAGTTAATTAATACAGATACTTTAAACAAAATTATGGACATTATATTGAATTATATAACATCAATATACATCGATAAAATAAAATTGGTTACCTTTATTTCAGATGCTAGTAGAATGAATGGGTTTCGATTATATGTGACCAACACATCAACTATTTCAACTGAAGGTTATCTCTGTTATGCAGATTCTTTTCCTGCTCCTTATCCAAATATCACTCAGACTATTACTTGTAATCAACTTGGGCGTTATATCATTTATTACGACAATGAAGGATCACAAGAAGAACCGATTGTCAAAGGGGGCATTGTTGAATAATGTTACGTTGCCATTAATGGTAAGATTATCATGTATAGAGAGTACCTTTCTCATTTATAAAAACAAAATGTATTTTACGGCTGTTTAAGCTGTTACAGTTGTTTTCCATTCGTTTGTTGATTTTATGCTTTTGATTTTGCCATTTGTGAAAGGACTTTGCGTTTTGAATTTTCGGTATTTTTGCTATTTTACTTTTTAGAGTTATTCTTTGTTTGCTTTAAGTTTCTGATTCAAAATAGTTTTACCTCAATCATCACTGGAGACATACGTTCTATCAAACTATACATCTGTTGTATAACTAGTGATATCCCAAACTGCTGAAACATGAACATGAACATGGTGAATGGATGATTGATTGATTATTGTTTGCTTAACACTTATACTGCCAACGGCCCCATCATATACGATTTACGTTACTTTAACCTGCCAATTGGGTGAACAAAGACCATAAGTGAAATAAAAAAAAAATCCGTGGTTAAAAGGACAATTGACGAAAAGAACACGTTTTTCCTGATAACGCAGAAAACTAAAGATTTTGCAACACGATCTGCCTAAATACCGGGGATAAATTCAGATCCTCCGGAAAGGTTTGCTGTTTTTAATCCACTTGAATTCCGTGTTACTCACTGCAAGAAAAATTTCGATCGTAACTTGCATTCGGCATTGTGTCAATCTAGGAAATAGGAGTGTGGTTACGGAAAGCGGAACACCTCCTCGGACACCTGTTACAAAGATATTCTATAAAGTTCAACTTAATCATTATGGCGTCCTGAGGAATGACTCTATCATCACAATAATGACATTAAATATGCCTGTGAAGTTGGATTTGTATCGGTTAATAATTTTGCTCCCATGCTGCGTTTTTTCATTGTCTAAATGTGTCTGTCTGTCAGTATTTCGTACTGTTGGTTTATAATTTCATCTAGTGTTTCTCTCCTATTTCACATCGTTCAAACACATCAATCGATAGTTTTGATCAAATAGAAGTAAATGTTCTAGAGAAGTATCGAAAGCTTCCATACGATAGGAAATTCATAGAAAACAGTTTATTTCAACATGATATTTGTAGGCTGCTTTAAAGGTGCATGGGGAATAAACTGTTCAAATGTATGCCCACCTAAATGTATAGATCAACACTGTAATCCTGAAAATGGTTCCTGTGTTTGGGGATGTGATCCTCAGAACTGTTTAAATAATAAATGCGACAAAGACACTGGTGCTTGTAGTGAAGGATGCGTAACTGGATGGGACGGACATTTCTGTTACTCGATAATATAAGTCTTGGTTATATGTTAGCATTTTTGTTTTTAATGATTATGGGCAACAGTTTACTGATGTTCAGATCTCATAAGTACATTAAGGAGATACAAATCCGGAAAAAAACAAAATATGGGGTAATCTCCGGAACTCCAAAAGGAGTGAGATCGTGTGTCTCAACTGCGCAAGTGTGTGGTGTTTTTTTTTTGCCATGCATACGCTACCCGCCGTGCAATTACACTAATAATATCTAAAACCGCGAAAAAATGTAGCTAGTTTTTTGAGACAAAGACATATCGTATCGGTAAGACCATTATAAGATGTTGCCTACAACAAATATTTTTTTCTATGAAATGGGAAATATATGTAAAAACATATTAATTCCAATACTTGGATTGAAACACACTATGGTTTATTTGAGGAGGCAATGACAATCTGTTCTAAATAAAAATTTAAAAACATATCTACTTGTATGTTAATTGATTATATTCAGACTTCATTTTGTTTTTAATTAATGTCAATGTATACTCACACATACATAGATAGCATGGATAGTATATAGTGTACCTAGATTTAAGGGTAAAATAACCGAATGTATCTTGTGTTATTATTCTATATTTAATCATAATTTTAGATTAGTTAGTACCTCATAATACATATACATATTTTAATGTCAGGCCTATTTAAATCTCCAAGTACCCACGAAGTCGAGTACTTAACAGTCGACTTTTGCACAACACCGGAAGAGCTATCAATTGCAAATTAAATATCTTTTACCACAGAAAACGATTTGATTTAGAGAACATGCTGTCAAAAAGCTTATTTGCTATGGAGATTTTTAAGTGTCGCTTTATTTTTGATATTTACTATAACTAACATTGTGTTGCTATAACTTTTAAAGCTTTAAATGTGCATAACATAATGTACATATATTCACATTGATTTGTTTGCGTTACTTATCGTTTGTATATGTGCTATGTGTGTGGGTTTTAGTCTAATTTAAACTTTTGCGTACCTTAAGATATGTTGTTTTCCTTTCTCGTCTCTTTATTCGCGTTTATTTTAATTTTAGATTCTTACCTTAATTAAAATAATTGTCAAGGGGAATACAATGTTCAGCTGTATTCTAGGTATATTTACTATTCATTGAAATTTAATGAACCTGTAATAGAAAATGTTTAAAATATGTTTATATAAAAAGTTCATACTATTCTTTGTAATGATATGTACTTAAATTAGATATTGTTTTTATAGATGATAAAAAAGAGAAAAAAACAGCCTTAAACAGTGCATTCCATTTTATTGAGCTCAAAAATATATTGTACATGTATATAAACATCATGTTTTAGCAACTTCATAATTTCACAGAAATCACTTCATAATGTTATAATGTAAGAGTAACATTTTGTTTTCTGTTTGTTTGTTTTTGTTTGTTTTATTATTATTTTTATTAATATCAACGCTAATTTTGTCTGTTCTGCCATAAAATACCAGCCAATTTGTCCAAGATAATCTAGATTAAAATGGAACAGTCGTCTAATGGCAGTAATCCCTCAGATGGAAATAGGAGATATGGTTAATGGTCCATAACAACAAGTTCACACAGTGTTATATGTTTTACTGCAGTGGTGGTGGTAAGAAATCATTTAATAAAAGGTTGTATTATTGCAGCTACCTACTTGGCAAATAATATGAAAACACTAGTACAACGATACCATGCAGTCAATGAAAACTGAACGCTGAACAAATCGACAATGACCAAAAAATCATAAGACGAAACACTTGTCTTCAAAACAATTTAAAAACACAAATATCAGAATGCCACTGACAGAGGATGAACTGAATTCTTTTAATGTCCAAAAAGAAGCACCGACCATTGTTCTCGGAACAAGATAAATTCAGATTGATTGATTGTTGTTTGCTGAACGTCCAGTTGCAAATGTTCATGTATATTCAGGGCGAGGACATGATATCAATAAATCACCTCGATAGGTTCTGTAAAATGGTTTCAGCGAGAATTAAGATAACGACTTAAAACGAGAATATTTAGGATAAGAATAGGCATTTTGTCTCGCAACCAGCATAAATGAACCCCTCAAAGAGTTGGTGAAAGGGTTCTTTAATGTTAAGAGATCGTGGCATTCCCTCTTTACGAAGCATTGGATTAATGTCATTTATTGGTCGGACATGGCTATGTATCTCTACAACCGAAAAAAGCGGTCCTATTTAGTAGTATATTTACTGCTTGATGCGGAAGCCAGGAGATTACAATGTTATATACCACCGTCAACCATTTGGGGTATAAAATATCTGAATTTAACATGTTTAAGTTGGATTTGTTGATAAATTTTGAATAAACATAAGATTCCAGAATACAAAAATGTAAGCAAGGAAGTAATGATGGGAGTTTGACAAGTTAAATGGCACATATCTATAATATAATAGTATGAGAATGTGCACATAATTTTTAATCAAATGAAACTGAAATGATCATTCTCCATTAATATTTAGAATATAATTTCTGACGAAGAACACTACAATGGTCATTTTAATTTAAAAATATTCAGAAAACAATAGACATTTGCTTTTTCTTTATTAAGTGACAGAGTCAATTATTAACATAAGTTCAATTGCAAATACTACATGTAGGAACATAAAGAAAAAAATTAAAATGAATACGAGGGAAACATTTGCCCTTGATCATCTATGTAATGCTCTCTTTACACTTCTGTCTTCGACATGGGCTTTGCAACAAGCGGGACAACGATGAACGTTTTGCAAGAAAAGATATTCCTTTTTTTTATGCCTGTGGTAGTTTTATTACAATGACGCAATTTGTGAACTGGATATTAACCGTGAAAACGTAAAGTAGTGACGAAGAATACGGGTAAAAAAATGATTTGTGATTATTTTTGTAATAAGAAAGGTCCAAATATTTCCAAGAAACTAAGCCTTTACCAAGGAAGCAATTAAAACCACAAGTGGAAGGATGGGCAATACAATGGCAAAAAAAAAGTACACTGAAAATCTGGTAAATATTTGAAAAAGACCCATTCATTGATATTACCCATACAAGTTGGGCTGATATCTAGAGTTTTCCGTTTGCAACCGTATTTTGTTTCACTTTCTACAGACATGGAAACTGGATTTCGTACTCAAATGTATTTCTTTCTCTATTTTTACAATTACAGTTAAATTGATTTAAATTGTATGTGACCAATGTACCAAATATTCCACTAGACCAGTATCTCTTTTATGAACATCCTGATCATGACCATCCTAACATTCCTACGAAAATATCCTATAATCAACTTGTAGGCCGTATGGTGACTTATATGTACTGTTGTTTACATCCTCTTTCTTGGTCAATGTTGCATAGTTGTCTTTTTGGCAATGATATCACACCTCCTTGTTGTGTATTGGACCAAAATGCCATTTATTGCGAGACCACCAATAAATCATTAATGTGTAGCATTGTATTAAATAACACATCAAATTCAAAAAGTTATATTTTCACTACCTCCAGTCTTTTTCGAATATTTATAAAGGTCTTCCGTGTTTGTTGTAGATCTCACACATTTTCACCTCAAGCACTACTGAAGCTATATGTTATTCATGGTAATGTGTATCTAAAATATAACAAGTGGTATCATTATTGAACATGGTTAATTGATGATAGATCGGTTGAAAGTTATTTGCCTAATCTTTAGTAGAGACTATTGCATGTGTATTGAAGACGAGATCAAATAGGTAATTTATACAAAGATAAAGAGAGTATGCGTTTTCTCTATGACCAGAATTACTGCGGATTGATATATGCAAAAAAGCAAATGAGATACTTCTCCCCAAGGTCCAACAAGTGATTATAAATGACTAGTAGGTTTAGAATAATTATTCATAAAAATACATGTGTAAAGGAGTCAGTTTTTGTATATACAAATTTACATTTGTATGTAAAAATCTTTTACATATCGCGCGTCCGAAGCACTTTTCTGGATATATCTTCATCTGGAAAACTCCAACCTAAACATATGAAAACCATGGATGTGTATCCATTTACAAACGTTAGTAGTTGTATGAAGAAAAAGGACTCAATCATAATATTCACATACATTAATTTTGTTATTTATGTCCATTTGTTTTCCTGGGTTTTGTCTGTTTATGTGTATGTGTCAAAGGTGACAGATATTTGATATTTGATAGCCTCTGTAAGATTTATTTACTTCTAATATTTGTTTTCATTTTGTTACATCGTGTCACCTTTAATCTAAATGTTGCTGATTGAGATTTTATTCATATGTAGTTAATAATATCCATCGGAGGAGAGCGGCATTGTGTGCATCATAATAATCTTATAAGATAACAAATTTCCTGATATATATTTAAAATCAGGAACACTCGGAGTAAAGTATCAATAATAAAAAGATAATTTTTTATTAAAATATCAAATAATAAAATAATCAAAATGTATGCAAGAAATCATGATATAAAATTATCATAAGCCTATCAAATGTTTTTTTTTTTTACAATGAAAAGTATAGAATACCAATTCGTGGTGAAAGAAGAAATTGTTTTATACGCCATAGAAACAAATCTTTTACTGTTCATATTGTGTATTACAGTTAATAGTTTTTTATTTAAATAGCACTTTTTGTTTTAAATTGTACTGAAGCTTCTAAAGAAACAATGAAAGGCTTACCATCTAAGCCTTGCATTAATGCAAAAACAATATGTCATCCCAATTAGAAATCATGTCTTCCCATTTTTTGTTATCGGCTGGTGTTCCTCGGTATATAGTTCATACTGTCTTGCATTAAATAGTCCAAAGGAACACAAATTAATGTATTGACCAATATGAATTTATGCGTTTCATTGGAATTTCAGACCAGAATGTCTGTGGATTTATATAAGCAAAAAAGCAACAAGTGATTATAAATGACTAGTAGGTTTAGAATAATCATTCATAAAAATACATGTGTAAAGTGGTCAGTTTTTGTATATACATGT